AACTCTGCATACAGAAGAAGTTCGTTCAATCACTACACTTGCAATGGACGTAATCTATCTTATTACCTGACAAGTAAATTCTACCTAATCATTTTCTCTTCTGTCTCTTTATTAGTATTATTTTGCCTTCTCAAATGTAATATTTTACATTTTCAACTTTCTTGTTCTCTACCTCCCACCCGACTTAATTTATACGCTTCATTACCACTGTTATTGACTTGACCAACACTCAATTTCTAGTCATTTATGTTACGTCATCTAACTTATTTTCTCAATTTCAGTTCTAATTTAAATGGCATTATTCTCTACCCCATTTCTACCTAGTCTCTACCTGTAATTACCTCTTTTGCTATCCTGACCTAAGTCGAAACACTTTAGTCAATTATATTACGCCATCTAACTTACCAACTCAATCTTACTTTAGTTGCTGTCTGATTAACCTTGTTTCTATATTAGATCATTTCTTGTATTACCTGATCAATTACCTAAACTTGACAAACCTCATTTACACACACAATTATATATAAATGCGATTGTAAAGCTGTGTGAATGAATTCGCCAAAAAGAGTCTCTTCGCTGAACGTCCTATCTTTTTCATAATAAATTATTTTAAAAATATACCATACAGGGTTGTGCCATTTAGCTGAATGACCGGTAGACTACATTATCGAATGCAGTCGGATAAAGACACTTCGTACACTTTTTAAAACACAGTAGTACTGAAAGGTCTAACTGATTTATTAAGTTATGTAGATAGTCATCGTTTAGATTCTGATAAACTCTTGTCTTTCTTATTTGTAATTTTCCGATTTTCTGTTTGATTACCTCTGTCTCAACTAAGGTATGTTCTTGACACAGAAGAATTAAAAATTTAATTGTTTTTGAATGAGATTTCATCAAAAATGATTTTGATAGCCTCCTGGTTTTATTTTTATGAATTTACAGTAGTGCTTACCTCTAAACCCTTAATATTATTATTATTTCTTTGGGATTAAAGTCGAACATATGGCTTTAACATCACATCACATCACCATTTCAATTTCTTCTCTGCAGTATTTCACGATGTCCTACATGTCACATCCGGATGGCGAACTCTTCGTTTCCTTTTCGGCTTTAGCTCGAGGATTTGGTAATTTGGTAATTTCACTCAGGAATCGCCATTTCCTTCTGAATATTTTTTGGAGAAGAAGTTGTTGGCTTATGCATTTGCTTCCAGGGATCCTTATCATCCTTTTTGACTGACCATGTAATCTGCAGGATTGAAAGAAAGCAGCTGTTGATGAAAGTCTGCAACGCACCAAGTCTCTGAGAACCGAATAAGGGCTCCGACTTGGCAATAGTGTTGAAAATCCCAATCTTGTTCGTTATACGTAGTGCAGTCGATTTCCACACTGATTTCATATTAATAAAGGTTTATCTTCCTCTTCTGATCCTGGTATAAGAATAGAACTTGGCTTTGACATCCTTATTCGTCCTAGCTACAGTTGAAATGATGCTGCTCGAATGAACAGGAGAGGATATTACCTCTAGACTTTCCCTATTGACGGTGATTGAGGCTTGTCATAGTCGGTTGTCGAGTATCTTTATTACCGTTGTCCTCTCTGAATTCAATTAATGACTTGTCTACTCTGTTTCTTACACGGGGTTAAGACATTTACTGATAATAATAATCGATGATCATTGTCAAACATCATGAATTGAAGGAACTTGGAGAAGTTATTTATTAGATGGGTGATAATGGCTTTTTCATGTGAGTGTATTATTTAATTTCTCTCAGAGGCATGATGGTGTGATGATTAGGTGTCTAGTTAGTTGGCTTCAAAAGGTATGATATGCCTTATTGATTTGTGATTAAATTCGCACTAAAGTTGTATTCTATATCACTGTTTATGTTTTAATTTTTTGTACTAGTAGTATTAGTATTTCGAGATGACCGAATTACAAGAATGCAACCAAAACACAGAGAGGGATGAATTCAGGAATTTGTATTTAGCGGAATTATAATGCAATTCATATAAGAAATATATTAACAAGCAACAGTCAGTAATTAAACAATACAGAGATAGAAATAGTCAATCACCACATCCGCCACACGTCGAATATCTCCTTGCGTATTTATAATGATGTCTCGGTTTGCTTGCAAGTAGCTGCGACCTTCTAACTGATTCTGTGATATTATTTTCATCAGTATCATCTGGAATTATTTCTGAACTATCTACAAAGTCAGGGTTAGTAGCGGAATCATTACATTTATAATCGGAACGATCTACTTCATTTATCGTCACTTTGTCCAGGTGTCTGTTATGAACTGAGTGATCTCTGATGTCTAATATCTTCACCATTCGATTTCCCATTTTTTGTAGTATGATTCCAGCAGAAGGTCTATAGTCATTCCCTCTGTAATAATGTACATTAGAAGTCGTGGACATCAGATGCTTTCTGAGAATTCGAGATTTGAATAGCTTTGCAGGACTTTCACGGGTACTTGTATGCTCTGCATTCAACAGACGCAACCTATGCATATGCAGCAATTCCTCCATTTTAATCAGTTGCTCTCTCATCTCAGTCAGCTGTTGACGAATGGACAACCCGCCAGCTTCCATTTCACTCACTTTTTTTCGTGTTTTCGACAGTTCGTATTGTAACGCGGCTATCTCATTTTTAAAAACACGTGATGCAGTTGACGCTTGAGTTGCTGAACATGTAGTGAAGGTTTTCATTAGATGAGATTGAGTATTGGGAAAAGTTGAAAGACACATTGACTCCATTTTACTAGACAGATTGGGAGAATTATAAGAATTCTGAGTAACATAAGTATTCGGACGTCTGCAAACAGACTTGATGTGTCCAACTTTACCACATTTATGACACTTAGCACCCCGAAAACGGCAAGTGCTTCGTAGATGAATATTTCCACAGGAAAAACATGGTTTAATGTTTTTGATCTCTCACTGCCTTCTATTACATGTGGACGACAGTTTGGATTTCTTTCCATGAACACTTGTATTTTCGACTTTGGACAGCATGACATCAGATACTGACGTAGTGGGAGCAGAGTATTCACTGTTGACATCTTCATATGTAATACATAAATCTTTAGCAGTTTGAAAGGTACAAGAAGGAATCTGAATTAACTCTTTCTCTAGCTTAGGAATATTGATTCCAGCAATTAGACGATCACGTAGTTGAGTATGCAGCTGATCTCCAAAGTTGTACTTTGAAGCTTGCATTTGAAGTTGAAGAATGAAGTTTCTAATCTTCTGGTTGGGAGCACGAACCACTTTGTTGAACTGAGCCCTCTCTCTGGTCTCAAAAGTAGTTATATGGAAGTTATCTATTAGAAGTTCGCGGAGCTCACCAAATGGCAGAGAAATTGGTTTATCTGGAAACGACAGAGTCTTCACTAGGCTATATGCATCTAGCCCAATAGCAGTAATGAAATGTGCTGAAATTTTGTCATCCCGAACATTCTTTGAAATGCACCATGCATCGAAGCATTCAAGATAATCAGCAATTTCCCGCGGTGAACCATTTATAGGAAATTTTCCAAGGTTATTTAATTCCATCGCGACGCCAATTTGTTGTAATTATTTGTAATCGTAGTATTAGTATTTCGAGATGACCGAATTACAAGAATCCAACCAAAACACAGAGAGGGCGGAATTTAGGAATTTGTATTGAGCGGAATTATATTCAATTCATATAAGAAATATATTAACAAGCAACAGTAAGTATTTAAACAATAGAGAGATAGAAATTGTCAATCACCACAGTTTAACACGAAAATGTGTAGTTGTCGTACACATGCTTAACATAAATTCTTGATCGAATGTTTCTTTAAATAATATAGGTATAAAACTTGGGCACTTGGGTGACGCATTCTAATAGATATCTTTACTTTAATTCGTCTCATCCGTTAACTGTTAAGGTAGGCTTAGTTAGGTGTCTAACAAACTGAGCCATAGCACTAAGCAGCACAAGTAAAGACCTAAATGACGAAATAAAACAGATAGAAGAAGCGTTGGTGTCGCATAACTATCGTATAATATTCATTAGGAAGATCAGTAAACGCCAAAAGCAAAATAAAAATAATTGTGAAACTAGCAGTGATAACATAAATAAAAGAGAATGTAAGTCATCTGCAGTTATACCATATAAGGAGGGGACATCTGAGACCCGACATAGGATTCGCAGTAAAGCAGGAATTAGGGTGGCATTTAGACTTATGAACTCACTCAGGGACAAGCTCTGTAGGTTAAAGAACCCTGTAGTTTGACCGAATTAGACAAAATAATATAATTTACAAAATACCTTGCCATAACCGTGAGTGAAGTCAACTACATAGGTCCAACTGGTAGGTCAGGGGTAGTCAGATCATCAGAACATAAGAATTTAGCTAAGGGAAGAATGGTTGACTTCGAAAAGATAAGTAATTTAGAAGAAAGCTCAACAATTGCACTCCACGCATTAACACACAACCACACAATAGGGTGGGATAGGGTTAAAATTCTGTAAAGTAATAAAGGTAGGTGGAGAAAGAGGTTGATTACTGAATCCTTGTTCATCGAGTCTACACTCAACACATGCAACAGAAATGATTCAATACAAATACCAGAAATATGAAAGATCCGATCAGAAGAGGATAATAATAACCTCAAAATTCTATTTCAATTCAAACAAATCACAACATTCTAACAAGTTACTTATGGTGACTATAAAAACACTCGTCTTATTTCCCATCTGACTGTAGTTGATCGATAACACTCATATTATTATTTCTGAATGTACATTACCCTATATTAATTTTTAGTCAAATGTGTAATGAATTCCACTAATGTATGTATGAGTGAGTAACTAGATATGATTATGAACAATAGTTTGTGCTCGAAACGTGGTCATCAGTTAATATTACTGTATAACACCACTGTGTGCGACTTTATCAAAATAAAATCTTATCTATAAATAATACTTTCTATAAACTCTTTCAATATATATTTTAGATTTAGATGAATTGACAATTACCACTGAAAGACTCGAAGAAGCCAAGTCTAATACAGATCTTGTAAATCCACTCTCTAAAAATGAAATGCAGTCATCGACAACATTACCATCTAATAAACAAGAAGTTACAGCTTATGAAAGCGATTCCGCATTCAACTTGACTGTTTTATCCTCTAATAAATCGAGTAGAAATAATCAACTTTCACCTGTTTCACCAGAGAATACTAGACGAGGTAAGTTTTAACTTGTATGTTTTTTCGCGTATTGTTTGTTCCAAGATTTAAATAATTTCAAGAATAATAACAAAGCGATTTCAGTAAAGAGGCCGTTGAAAACTGGGGAGTTTTGTATAGCTATTTCGTCCTTGTTTGGGACTCTTCATCAATATGTAGACATGAAACTAACCAGGGATGGAACTTAGGATCCTAAGATTGCAAGGGGAGTTTTTATACTACTACCCCACTGGAACAGAGCCATCTAGAATCACAATTCGGCAGAAGATAGAGTTGATGGGTCACTGGATTCCGTCGTCTTAAAGCCTTAATGTCCTAAGTTCGATCTTCAATGAGGTCATGCGTGTGTGCATTGCTAAAGAGTCTCAAATAAGGACTAAATAGATGGTTTCCTGCATCTCTCTAATTGAATTTAGTACTTATTTTTTTGACGCTTGCATTTGTTATTTATCGTCAACATTAATAGAATTATTCTAAACAGCATATTGTTACGTACTACGGAACACACTGAATGTCTCCACAGTGAAAGCAGTCCTAGAGAGTGGTGATTACTGACAGGAGGCAAATAGAAACGTCTGTGTGAAACTTTGTCATCAAAAGGAAATGTAACTACGAATATTAGTAACTGAAGTATTCTTTGAAGACAATTTCATTTTCTATAGTTTGGTTTGTAAGGATTAGTTATGTTTTACGAGTTGATCACGGATTGATATCAGTTAGAGAGCTATTGAAAACCAGGGAGTACTGGACAGCTGCTGTTCCATCCTGGTTTGGGAATCATCGGCAGTACGTACCCACTGGGATTCGAACCCAGGACCTTCCGGTTACAAGGCAAGCTCGTATAGCATTCAACCACTGGGACCCGATTCAATGGCTAGAAGTTAGAATTCATGAGCCATTGAATCGGGTCCCAGTGGTTGAATGCTATACGAGCTTGCCTTGTAACCGGAAGGTCCTGGGTTCGAATCCCAGTGGGTGCGTACTGCCGATGATTCCCAAACCAGGATGGAACAGCAGCTGTCCAGTACTCCCTGGTTTTCAATGGTTCTCTAACTGATATCAATCCGTGATCAACTCGTAAAACAATTTCACTTGTCAAACAATTCACTGACCTCAGAGTCTCTTTTTTTTGAGCATTTTCCAACATGGGTAAGAAGGGAAATAGCAGAGTCTATCGAAAGCTGCCTATTATCCCCGATGGTATCCTTAATTGTGGTGGGCTGGATTATGCGTCAGACTGTAGAGAGCAAAGAGTTAGGAATACACTGGAAGACTAATAAGAAGACTCTAGAAGATCTGGATTTCGCGCGTAGATGACTTTTGTCTAATGTTATACACACTCGAAAACCTACAGGCGAAAACCGACGAACTGGCAGAAGAAGGTGAGAGCGAAGACAGGACTGCAGGTGGACACAGAGAAGATGGAGGTGATGAAGTAGCCAACCAACCAACATTAAAAACAACCTGAACCAATCACCATCAACGGGAGAAACTTGACAGAGGTTACTTCCTTCACTTATCTAGACAGCCAGTATCGTTTCAGATACAGGTAGTCGGAACGGATGAAGATGTCAGAGCAGACCAGACACGCCTTCATCAACATGAAACCAGTGCGGAAATCTCCTGCAGTAACTCAGCATACAGAACAAGATTCAGATTTTCAACCCAAAAGTTAGTCACTGCCTCTATACGAGTAAGAAACTTGCATGGCGTGTCGCTAAAAGGATTTCCAACAGGATACTGCAGACTTTTATCAACAGCTGCCTTCGCTGGCTCCATACTGAAGATCAAATGGCCAAAAAGAATTAGTAACAAGAAAGTATGGCAATGAACAAACCAGGCGAGAGACGATTTTTCAGCAAATATGTAGGAAAAACTGCAGATGAATGGAGCCTACAATGAGGAAACCGTCTAATGACATCGCGCGCCAGCCATCACCTCAAGTGGAATTCCATTGGGAAATGATGAGTGAGTTGTCCTAGGGTAACATGGAGGAGGTTGTGTGAAGAAGAGATGAGACATTTTGTGCAGCTGTGGATCCATCTGAAGGGGATGACAGAAAATAGAAGGAGGTGGAGATGTGTTGTTGAAGCCCTACGTCCCATTCGGGAACTTAAGGGAATAATAGTTATAATATCATATCGAAAGCTCTCTCTAGTGGCTGAAATACAGAGTTGAAACTCAACCACTATATAAAAGGTGTAAATTCAGTTCTATCTGTTTGTATGACTCTGGTTGTCAGTGTTAATAGAGACAGTTACCATCAAGATACTTGGAAAAGGTTTATTGAGTTCCACTCCCTCACACACCTTACGCCTTCAACCAAGGTTCAAGTAGAATAACTGTATATCATAATCACAGAAGATAACTGTAAATTACATATATGTATTTTCTGTATTATTGTGGTGGTGTGATACAGACCCTGTGTTCCAACAGAATATTATTCCCACATATTCCCACAGTCAAATACTGCATTAGCAACATAATACTATATGTCTACAGGATTTCATAATTAGCTGAACTCAGTTAGAGAACCATTGGAAAACCACCTGGGAGTACTGCCAGACAGCTGTTTCCTCCTAGTCCGGCACTCTTGGTCAGTACCGCCAGGGTTCGAACCAAGGTCCTTCTGGTTACAAGACTAGCGAGCTCGTAGACCATTAAGCCACTGGGACCTGATCAAGTGGCCAGTCTACGAATTCCAAATTCTGCCAATTCACGACCGCTAGTCAATGTCTTCAGTGAGCATTTGTCCTCCCACCGGACTTTTTATTTTATGTCTTCACTTATAAACCGAAATTACACGCTCAGTGATTAGTTAAACAATATTAAACTGTATATGTGAAATTAGCTGTTTGATCACTTGAAAATATACCCTGGCTTCCTTGTTTTGCCTTCTGTTGTTGCACTATTAGCTATATTATATTTTTATCACATCGGATTGTTGTAGCAGATTATAGTTTTAATTTCACAATTCATAGTTGCCATAGGCATACTTAATCTAACCCACACAATGGCTGACTATCTAGATTAGTACATGTGTACTTTCATGGTTTTATTATTATTATTATTATCACCTTGATTCCCATACCCGTTAATTAATATTAGTTGAACTCTGATTCTATTAACGACATTATCACCAAACGTTTTTACTGAATAATTGTTATAAAGACAAAGGCCAGGAAATAGATTGTTTACTGAGGAAATCAACAGACATTTATAGATTTTTATGTACATTATTATTCGTTATTGTTAGCACTGGAAGCAACGTCTTCTGATTGGCTGTTTTCCTACTGAAGGTTATTCAGTCATCTCTTTGTGGCTGTTTCTTAGCCAGTCCGTTGACATATATCTGCGAATCATATCCACCCACGTTAAGCCCACTGTGATTGGCTGTTGAGTTCCTCAAGGGTTGGCTTTGGAATGTAAACCTTGACGTCAGTTGTTGTCTACGATTTTGTCTTGCAGACAGCTGCCACCACAAAGTCTCACACAGTCCTACACAGTAATGTTTACTGATGATAACCATGTTTCGAGCACAATTTATTGCTATTGCTCATCTTCATCATATCAAGGCACACTACTCACTCCCACAACTTTCTTGCTTCATTTATATATACACAAGTAAAAATTGATGATTAGACATTTGAATAAAATCAATAATATAAGATGAGAAAGTACATTCGGAAATAATATTATTAGTGTTATAAATAAAATACAGTTAGATAGGAAATAAGATGTTCTTATAGTAAAACAAATAAATAACTTGTTAGAATGTTATAATGTGTGAGTAGCGCCTTGATACGATTATGAGCAGTAATAATAAACTGTGCTTGAAACGTCGCCATCAGTAAATATTACTGTAAACTACTGTGTGACGTTTTTGATTGGTCACTAGTCAGTAACTAGTGCAATGTGTGCGTATGTGTGTGCGTCTAGTCCTATCTTTGGTGCAGACTTAATTCTACCAGTCAAGTTGGCAATGCGGCCACCACAGCTCAGTGGTAACATCTCTGACTGCAGACGGCACTGCATGATGCGGGTTAGACTCTCAGAAGAGGGACATGAGTTGAGTTCCTTCAAAGTTGCAGATACACGCCTTGATGACTGGTGAGTACCAACCAGCACGAAACCTAGGTGAGGCGTGGCTTTCTGTGGCCGATTGCCTCCAACCATCTAATACCAACTGTGTCGTCATCTCTACTGAATAATTTTAACATGCAGCTGTAAAGTTTTGCTTTGTTTTTGAGGAATTATGAAGAAAATATGTATTTGGTTAAAGCTTCATTTTCATTCTGAAAACTTCACCTAATTGTCATCACTTTTTCAACAGTCCTTCCCTTTTTCATTTTAATTATCACAATTTTATGTTGTTAAGGGATGATAGATTTTCTCTTTCAAACATTCATCATCATTCCCTATCATACAAATGATCAAACAGCAATGCAATACTCAATGGCCACTGACACATGTGAACAGATTTTCCATGGCTTTCATTAAAACTCATAGCATTCACTCGTTACTAAGTCGGCTTTGTGTAGATACTAACTCATCAGTGATACTGATTGATAGTCTCAGTTCATGAGGAAAAAATGTCAGATTTAATAGAATTTTAGTCGATAAATTTCAAAAGAATGGATACTGAACAAAGAATAGCCTTTTCGATAACCCCCTCATCATCAAGCTCTACAGTTATATATACATTATAGTGAATGAATGAATTAGTGTTATGAACAACAACATTAATGTTGCTGTTTAAATAACATCGAATCAATAATCACATTGATAGATTACAGCTCAATAGCATCAACATAATGTAAGCTGAATGTCAGAAAAATTAGGAAGGATAATATTACAAATTCATGAATTTACGGTGTCTACTGAAGGCCAGTGCAGTAGAAGTGCCTGACGGGACTTACTTCTTTTGAACACAGAGCACTGGTTGTCTGAGGCGAATTGCAATAGCCCCCGCTGTTTGGAACATGCAGTGCTTCGATGATTCTGGCAATTCATTAGGCACCGGTAGATTATAGAGAAGGTTTATTCCATGCTGGCTTTGTGGCCAGTTTGCACCAGATAGTCCAATATCGAACTGTTAATGGTTTCAACTACACCTTTACTTAGCCACAGTGGGAGATGTTCTCGAGGAAGCCTGAAAAATCAAGTTCCTAGAACGACGGCCAATATAACTCGCTCCACCATCAGCGCAGTTGAATTGGTAGATACAATTTGAAGTGGCTAGCTAGTCTAGGTACTTCATCTTTCAGTCGAGGTAGCACCATCGGTCGTGTAAAGAATAAGGCGTGTAGTTCGCCAGCATTAAAAGTTCTTTGAACTGATTTTCTTAATCTCCTCGTAATTATCTCACTCGTTATATCGCCCATGAATTGTAGTCGTATATAAAGAGGCTTCTTGTATACAGATAGCGAGTAGTCCTTTTCCGCTCTCTTTTTCGTATGTCTTGGTAAATCTTTCGGGATAGCTATTTTCGACCAAAGTATCATATACAATGCTGAATTCATCTTCAATTACTTCTTCTGAGCTGTAACTCTGTGGCTGAGAGCAAAACGACAGTGTTGTTTTTACTGACGTTTCGCTGTTTATTACTGCCACAGCTAATAGCCTGTATCAAAGTATTATTCAACCAGAAATGACAAAATTCACTCAGCTTATATATAACAAATTAATCATTGTTCATCAGCATGAGGTGATTTTTGCGTTGTCAAGTCGGATAGTTGGTAAAGATAAAAAAAAAACCAAGTGTAGATTGTTGGATTTGATAAGTGTGTAAAATTATTAAAAAAACTGTATGTGTTTACCCAATGAAATTGCTTATCACATTTGTGTTGATTTTGTTATGTAATGGGAGAGGCGGGTGTTTCATCCATACCCAGTTCTGTTTTAGTCCATCATTCTTATTCAGACAATTTGGATTCCACTTGATATGAAGTCCTTCTGATATTGAACGTTCTTTGTGATTTCTGAAGATTATCTGGATTATCTCAGTAATGTCGAAATCAATTTTATGGCCTGATTCTAAAGCGTGTGGACATATGGCTGATGATTTTTCACGTTTTTCTAGTTCGACTGGATTTCTCGGTGGTAAAACAGATGCTCTACGATGTTCATTTCTTCTGATGTTTGTCCGATGTATATCGCATCACATTCCAAGCATTTTATTTTGCAGACATAATTAGATAGAGAATCTTTAGGGGTTTGGCCTTTTATGTGTTCTGTTGATGTAAAATGGTGAAGGGGAAAACAAAAAAATGACAGCTATTATAGAACTTAAATGATGTTTGCACTTATGAGAAAATAAACAAAAGCATGAGAGGACTATAAATATAAGAAGGCTAACAGTAAAGTTTAATGTTATAAGGGTGGAGAAAATTGTTTATTTACTAGTGCAAAGAGGCTTAGAGTTATTTCATGCCTGATACTATTTTAATCACATAAAGTACTTACCAAATATGGTATAGTGGAATTTTTATACTTAGACGTGCGCGTGCATAAAGTCTTTTGAAATGAAATCTTGTTTTATCTGAGGATATGCAGCAAGGTGAAAGCTGTGAGTGCTGCGGTGGACGCTCACAGTCTGACAAAATCCCTTTAGCGAATTTGCTGCATGCCATCAATGCCATGCCTGTCAATGACGATGCCCAATGGGACACCACCACAATCCTACGAAGTATGACATAGTCTTTTTAAAGCAATCCAGGAAAGAATAAGTAAGGGTAAACAGTAAAGAAGAATAGGTAGGATGCAGGAGTTGACAAACTGTAAGAGGAGGAGGGGTTGAGTTATGCCGGAGTGCCTTAAATTCTTAATGTAAAAAGCCAGACAAAATAGTCTGATATAGTCTGACTCTTCTGATCTATGTTGAATGACAACTGTTGAGGTCCATGTCTTCGGAATACATCTTCGGCTATGTTAGCAATTAGCATTCAATAACGAAATGTCAGTAAAAACAACACTGTCTTTTCATTCACTGGGAAATACAAAACTTTTATAATAATGAATATCATATACACTGAATGCCCAAAATTTTGGTGGCTAGCAGTGAAATCCAGAATGAGCATTTCGTCCTATTTGGGACTCGGCTGCAAGCTGGATGTACCTGTATTCCTCATTGAGGGATGATGTTCCCACTGAGGCTCGAACACAGTGCCCAAAGTTTCAAATGCCATCACGTTATTCACTAGACCACTTGGACTACTTCTGGTTACTTGCTCAGACATTGTCGATGCATCTGCACAAGAAGCCGACGCGTCAATCTGAGGCTCAGCCCTTTGGTCAACTCAATCGACTGGAAAATTTAACAGTAAGTTAAACAATTTAAAGTCGTTCATAATGGGGCAAATAGATATATATATCTTTACTCGTCGTCATGTTCTAGATTCTGAATACCCTCCCTGAGACTTTTTAATTATTCTTTATTATATAACTATGCGGCAAATTTAACTGACACACTACTGGATGAAGTTCAACGCTGTTTCATCAGTAGGTTGTCAGTCTCACTTTTCATTTGACATAAATATCATCTAAATATGTAATTATTTAATAATAATAAAACAATTGTTATTGTGTATGTATTAATTTCCTTCTTTCTGTCTTTCTCATTTTCTCAAGATCTTTCACCTCCAGGCAGTAAATGTTATATATGCAGAAAACGTCTCGGTTTAACTGGTAAGATAATTATTTAACATACAGTTACTATTATTATTATTATTATTATTACCCTTTATGTCAATAATTTCAAAGAATTATTCAATACACATTGAAGTGGCTGAAGGTGACAGTCTGCCCTTCACACATCGATTGATCATTTGTCAACTCAGAGGTAAAAAACTTTCCTCAGTGATCTGCACAAGCTATTCTTCAAGATCTCAGCTACGATATCACCTTTAAATTCAACACTCATAAATAGCAGTTTCTCTGGCACTGTTTGGGTTATTTCTTTTCTAAAAAGAAGATTTGATGGTTCTCATCAAAAATCAGTCTACAGGAAACGAACACGGAATGGTCAAAACACACATTTTCATCGTTGGGTCCCTTTGAGTAGAAAGAGAAACCTGATCCACTCCTTATCCTCAAGAATAAGAAGGATATGTTCCAGTGATACAATCGATGGGGAAATGGGGTGACTCAGACAAGTCCTCATAGAGAATGGGTATCCTTCAAGATTCATGGAGAAAAACATGTAGTTAAAGCAAACCCTGAAAGAACCCAGACAGTGCTGAAGAAACTGCTATTTATGAGTGTTGAATTTAAAGGTGATACCGCAGCTGAGATCTTGGAGAATAGCTTGTGCAGATCACTGAGGGAAGTTTTTTTTACCTCTGAGTTACGGATGAATTTCTAAAGCCGACAAATGATCAATGGATGTGTGAAGGACAGACTGTCTCTTTGGGCCACATCAATGTGTGTTTATAAATTCACCTGCTCGAGTGGAGCTAGTTATATTTGCCACACAAAGCGCGCACACTTTCCAAACGAATCTATGAAAACTGTTCAATACTTCATTGATATCATGACCAAATATACCCCAGTGCAATGTAATTGATGTTGAATTCGCATACAGATTAAATATATCTGAATTTTCTACATGACTTAGTAAGCATTTAGGAGCATGTTCTTCCCAACAAAATTAGAACATTCTATTGGTTCTGCCTACATAAGTATCACCGCAACTCCAGGTGAACTTGTAGATAAAGTATGAAGTATAGTGTGTAGAATTTAGTGCATTAATCGTATTTATTATTTTATTATTATTGTTCCCTTGGGTTACTAGTGTAACATAGGGCTTCAACTGCACATCTCCACTTGCTTCTGTCTTCCTTCTGCTGTACTTTTCACCTGAATACATGTTAGTCCGTACTGTTTCAACTCCTCTTCACACGATCTCCTCCATGTCAACCTCGCACTGACGTCCCACTCGCCGCTTCCCTTTCGGGTTCCACTCGAGCAACGGCCTGACGCGCGCGCGATGTCACCCAGCGGCGGCCTCCTCAGCCAGTGTCCAATTTCCATCCATCTCCACTTACTCCTGCCTATTTGTTGGGCGATTGGTTCTTGTTTTGTTTCTTCCCATAGTTTCTTGTTGGTGATTCTTTCCGGCCCAGCCGGCCATCTCATCTTCACTATAGAGCGAAGGCAGTTGTTGATAAATTTATTTTATTTTTGATTACAGCTTGATTCCACACCGTATTTTTGGTACAAGTATGGAATTTTCAGCGTGGATATCGGTAGCCCAAATTTCGCAGGCCGACCATAGATATCAGGTGTGCGTCGGCGTGGGCTCGAACCCCGGACCATATGCATGGTCGGCGAGAGTCCTAACCACTGTGCCACCGACGCACACAAAGCCTGGTTCGGCCCGGGTCTGTTGGAAATATTCCTTGTGACCCCCCCCCACCAAGCCTCTGATCCGCTTGTATTGAAAATCCGACCGAATTTCGTTGTTGATGCTGAGTGACGAAGACTTCCAGATTGGTTTCAAGTTGTTTAATGTGTTTCTCGCCTTCCCGATTCTCACTCGATTTGACATCCTCGTCCGTTCTGACTTCCTGTAGTTGAGACAATGCTCCCTAGATCAGTGAGTGAATGAAGTAACCTCTTTCAAATCCCTCCCGTTGATGGTGATTGGCGCTGGATGTTGTTGTTGGTTGGTTAGTTATTTTCATAACTCCCGTCTTGTCTATGTTCACCTGCAGTCCTGTATTCACTGTCTGCTTCTTCGACCAGTTTGTCGGTCGGTTTTCGCTTGTAAGCCTTCAACTTTGTGTGACATCAAACATAAATCATCCAGGCGCGAAATCCAGGTCTTCCAGGTTCTTCATGTCGGTTCAGGATATCTCTGTCTTCTCGTTTCTCACTTACTGTCTGACGCATAATCCAGTCCACCACAACTAGGAATATCATTGTTGACAATAAGCACCTTTGTCTAACTCCTGTGTGTTTACTCCAAACGCCTCATTGAGTTTTCCGTTGTGGATCACTTGACATGTGCCGTTGTCGTACAGCTGTTGAATAAGATTGATGAATACTTGGGGTATGCCGTAGTATTCGAGTTAATCGTAAGTACCTGGTTAAAGGATGAATTTATGAGAATTCAACTTCAAAAATGTATCTACAAGTTCACCTGCATTTATGGTGACACATGCAAAGGTAGAAGCAATGTAGGTTGTTCTAATATCATCGGAGAGAACATGTTCCTAACTGGTTATTAAGTCGTATAGAAAAACCACATTTACTTGACCTGAATAGAAATCCAGAATCATTCGTCGCAAATCATTCCATTGCCAGTTAATAATAATAGATCAACATAAATGGGTCAGTATATCTCCATACAGTTAACTATTCCTCTTTACACTATAAAGGGAGATAAGTTATACCCCCTTACAAATTCTATAACACAAATACCTTCAGTGTTTTGACATCTTCCAGATCCAATAAGTCGTCATTATTCTTCATGTAATTATACTGGTGACTTTAAATTATAACAGCCAAAAACGAACAGGGCAATAAAAACCTTGACAAATCTCTATTGGCCAATCAGACGCCTGCGAAGTAGAAGCGCGTATTTTGAAATAAGTGTCTATGTACAAGTAATGCACTGATACAAAATGGTTATATAGTATAACATTCCTGTATATGATCTAAGAAAACCTCCTAACTTCTCTTAGGAGTTCTCATAGTCAGGTTAAACCGCTTCCTGTACACATGAATTCGTCTAGATAACTTTGAATCATCGTGTTTCTTGACCCACCCATTCACCGCTGTGATCCTCTATTTTTTAAGTGACGCTAGAAAATTTCGATTGAAATTTTCGTGAGTCCTATAGAAAGGATTAACGAAATGATCCTTATGATTGACCCTGTTGTCCATATAGTCCAGGGACGACAGTCGGCTACAGGTCTTCTTCCTTCCAGTGAACCAGCTTGTTATATATGTTTTGATAATTGTGTAGCTGTATTTCGTATATGTTCTGGGATTTAACCGTGAATGGAAATTTAGAAGTGTTATAGTGGGTTACGAGTTGAACGCAGAGCTTAGACAAGACATCTTCATCACTATTCAGTGTCACCCACAGTCCACTAGCTCATGGTTCTCCATTCAGGTTCCACTCGAGAATCGACCAAGAGCGTATTCAATCCATTTGCATTTTTTATGCATACTTCTGTTGCGGTTGGTTTGTTCCCAGAGTCCTTTGGTGTTATTTCCTTCTGGTAATCTCATCTTGAGTGTCGAAAGAAGACAGCTTTTGACGGAAAACTTCGCAACTCTCTGAAACATTTGCAAGCACTGACAGAATTATCATTAGTGTTTGAAACTGATTATAAATGGGATAGACAAAAAGAAAGAAAGATCAATACGAAGTTCATCGGTAGAATACTCTCCTCCGACAACACCTCAAATGGTCAGGGATCCAACTCCTGATCGACGAACTCCTTAATCTCGCCTGAACGGTGTTAAGCCTGGTAAAGAGGGAAGGCTGGGCATTAGGCAACTAACCTTACCCCGTAAAAAAAACCACTACTGTTAAAAGATTCAGACCTTAGGTCTCAGACCCTATGTTCCACTTGAAACAGAAGTTTTATGAACTGCATGATCAAACTAAGTCCAAGGCTACGAAAATGATAGTGATAACTGCATGCAAAGCTCTGTTCTTCTGTTGTATATAATCAAGAGTACCACTTGGCATAGGCGGCACAGTTGTACACCTTTTGGTCAATTTTATTAGAATTCATAGACACTTGTAAAGGATGCATTAGAAGCTGAGTGGTCAACATCCAATACAAATGTTGTAATATGGAATAATCAGTGATTTTGCACTGTTCTTTGCTCAGCTAGGCTGTGAGGTGCTCTCGAAGTCGGAGAGATATGTTTTTCAACGGATATCCTTCATATGTAACTCTATAGTGGCAGGAGAAGTTAAATTTCAGACAACCAACAACAATCGTAAACGAGCCAATGTCATTATACTGCCCAGACAAATAAGACTATATTCATAAAAACTAGTGCTGAGTGGAATTTTATTGTGTTTAATGACAGGATATCTAATAAGGCTTAGGCTAGGGATAGATGGGTAAGGGTTAGATTCACCTAATCAGGTAGATATTAGGGTTTTTTAAGGCTAGATTAGGGTTATATACATCTTCTAAGAAATCCGGAGCGATAATCGCATGGATTAACTAGACCAAGCGTTTGAGTTACATGTCAAAAATCCAAAAGCACATGATTTGTCCAGAATACGATGCTATTGATGTGGTTGTGTTCTCTGAACTGGACGGTTAATTTGCGAAGCTTTCATCGCCCTACTAGACTGAACAGATCACAATACAAGACCAATGGCGAATGAAATCCAATGGACCACTTCTACCCCTATTCTGCGGCAGACCAAAAATACACAAGCCAAATATCCCGTTATGACCAACTGTATCACTCCCAGGAACTCCAACATATAACTTATCCAAAGAATTATACAGAAAACTAAAACACCTAACGGAATCCTGTGATCCCTCCATCAACTCTGCTATCCAATTCCTAGAGAGAATTAGAGGCATCCAAATAGGTGAACAAGAAATAATGATATCCTTCGACGTCACAGCATTATATACCTCAATCAGACAAAAAACTAGCGAAAAAGACCACGGAGCAATTACTTAGCAATGATGAACACCTTCCACAACAATCAAAAATGCAACACACAAGCTGGATGGAATGCATAAACCTATGCCTAACAACATATTTCCAATTTAACGGCCAAATATATGAACAAGTCAAAGGAACACCCATGGGATAGCCAATATCAGGTTTGATTGCTGAAGCAGTGATGCAAAGACTCGAAAGCATAATCCTACCGAAGATCGAACCAATGAAAGCTATCTCTGTGAGCCAATAAGAATAACAGCAAGGCTGCTGTGTCAAAGGTGACCCATGTGTTGATTAAACATCGCCCGAATGCTGGAAAAAGAATAAAGCGATTTGAATGAACAGTAAGTGTTCAACAGTAAGTGCTATTTAAACAAAGCATATGAAACAGATCATGTTTAACTAAAAAGAAAGTGAATAATATACATTGAATAGAGTATTAATACAACACTAAGTGATGTAAACCTCAACAGCAAACAACAGTATTGGTTACGGAGTAACAACAAAACAAAAAAATATATAGACTTACTACTTTCTAGTGATAAGTAGTATAATGTTCAACACTAAAGAAACAGTTACAGAAGTTAGGTTAAACAAAAATCAATGTTAATTGGTGGATGGTGACTATCAGTGAAATCTAGGATGAGCATTTCGTCCCATTTGGGACTAGTCTACGAAATGGAGGTATCTGCATTCTGCAGTCAGTGATGATGTTCCCATCGAGGCTCGAATCCAGTACCCATAGTTTCAAATGCCAAAGCGTTATCCACTAGACCACTTGGGCCACGAGAGCTGGCCACCTCTTGTGGAACGGGTCATATCAATTACTTAATTCACTTTTCTTGTCGAAATGCGCGTTCTGGCTGGATTCCACTGGTAGTCACCATCCACCAATTAATATTTGGGAACATGTTCTTTTCGACGACATTAGAACATTCTATTGGTTATACTTATATCTGTATAACCTGAACTCAAGGTGAAGTCGTAGATACAAAATGAAGTAGAGTCCACAGAATTTATACAGCCTAAGAAGAAGAACTTATTGGAAGCGACAATTGTTAACTCTAATTATTTTGTTTATTAATTTAATGATAATAATAATAATAACCCTTTGGAAAAATCATGTTTCTATTTCCTGATTCCTTTTGATTTTTAAGGTATGAACTGTAGATGTGGTAATACCTTCTGTGCATATCATCGTTATACTGATCGACATGAATGTACATACGATTATCAGGAGGAGGCACAGAGAGAAATACAACGTGAAAATCCTGTTGTCAGTGGAGAGAAAATCAGAAAACTTTAATTTTTTTTCATCTTATTATGCATACATACACACATATCTATATACATATAAACAAAAAGAGAATGGGCCAATTTTTTCCTTTGATATGAGAATATTGACTTAAAAATGAATAGCCATCACTCCCTCTTACTTAACGTTTATTTTTGTTATTTTCGTCACTTATTTGGTTTTTTGTTGTTTGTTTTTATTTATTTATTTAAACAAATCTGTTATGCTTTCATTTCCATTTAAATTTAAATTATTCAAAAAAATATAATTCAAGATGGCATCATTCTTTAAGTAATTATTAGACGTCTAAAGAAAAAGAAGAAATTCTAGTAAGGTTTGGTTTGTTGATGTTAGACGGTTGGAGGCGATCGGCTACAGGAAGCCTTGACTAGACCTAGGTTTCGTGCTTGTTGACACTTATCAGTCACCAAGGCGTGTCTGAAACCTCGGAAGAACTCATTTCCCTCCTCCGAGGTTCGAACTTAGGTCACCCCGTGCCGCCTGTATTCAGAGATGTTATCACTGAGCTATTCGGTCTCGCGACTGACATCCTTCCTGTAGGACTGTATTGGATACTTTCGTTGGATGTGTGTGTCTAGTCCCTTCTCTTTGGTGCAGACTGAATTCTGTCAGTCAGGTTTGCAATGTAGCCACCAGTCTAGGTAGCTTGCCATCACGTCTATGACTGCAGCAGCGGTTAACACGGGTTAGAATCAAGTTTGCAGATGCACCTAGCTGACTGGAGAGTGCCAACTATCACGAAACCTAAGTCACGTGTGGCTACCTGTGGCCGATTGCCTCCAACCACCCAACATCAACAGTTTAAAGTGCACCGTGATGGCAAGCTACCTAGAATTGTGACCACATGGCAAACCTGACTGATAGAATTTAGTATGCACCAAAGAAAGGACTAGACACATCACACTAGTTACTAGTGTCCAATGAAAGGTTTGGTTTGAATAGACTGTGGGCAATAATGGATAAAGGCCATATATACATATCTGTCTTTTATGATGACCTCAGATAATGGGGTCACTTTTACATCTATCTACTGATTGACAGATTTACGTTTCTGTGGATTTTACTATAAACAAAGTTTTATATTTTGCTAGAGTTTGGTAGAATTGGTAGGGGTGTCTGACGTGACGCAACAGACGCGGTGATCATAAGTGTTGCTTGTCTACACCGACAACGGCATACGAAAATGCTACTTGGTTTTACAGCCGGCTACTTACGCTTGAACACATAAATACATGACACGGAAGAATATATTTACGCAAAGGCGACAGAGCAGGTTCGCGAAACTTTTTCCAAAATTAGAAGGAGCATACACTGTCATGAAGAGAGGGAGGTGTGGTCAGGTTCATACAGCAGAACAGGAAACAAAGAGAAAAGTGCTAATGCCAGCAAATTTCATAGATGGATGGATGATACCATAAGATTAAAGCTTTCGAACTAAATCAATTGTAACAAATGCTGACGGAAACAAAAAAGGGCTGAAGTGTTCCGGTCGAGACATTTTGACGCTCTATCGAATGTGGCATGCTTACGGAACGAGAAACGGTGCGTAGACCATTGTTTATGAGATGTTAAAGAGTACTTGGTAGTGCAGCGACGTACCATGCTGCGATACATATAATTGAAGAACTCCGTCGGGGCATCAAGAAAACATATAGAGGGAATAAAGAAGAATGGTTACTGAACAAAGAATATCCTTTTCGATTACCTGCTCTTCATCAGGTTCTACAGTTGTATACACATAACAGCGCATGAATGAATTAGTATAATGAACGACATTAATGTTTAAATAACATCGATTCAATAGTAATAATATCAATGAATTACAGTTTGATGACATCAACATTGCACTGCACACTGAATATAAGAAAATTAGGATAACTAATAATACAAATTAATGAATTTATAGTCTACACTGAAGGCCAGGGCAGTGGTATTGGCTGACTGAAACTGCTTCTTCTCCACACAGAGCACCGGTTGTTTCAGGCGAATCGTGATAGCCATTACTGTTTGAAGTGTACGATACATGGATAATTCTGTCAGTTTGTTTTGTACCCAACTGTTGATGACGGAGACGGACTCTTTACTGGCCAGCTTGGAACTACTATGGTCTAGCTAGATGGTTAGTAAGTATTCCCAAAGCTTTGCATAAGCCGATAGTGAAATATAGTGGCAAAGATGTATTTGAATTCGAAGACAAAATCAAAAATATTAATATCAAGGATGAAACTATGATATCTTTGGACATATCATCTTGATTCATAAATGTACCTCAAGTAGAATTGGTTAACTTTAAATGTCAAGCGTATAACTGGTCGACAAATACTGGCATCCCAGTGGAAATGCTGAAAGAACTGTTACTGAAGTGAACCATGAATGTAAATTTCAAATTTGATGGACGGGGTGGCAATGGGTTCGACATTTTGGCAGATATCTTTCTAGGTAAACTAGAAAATGGTCCTTTGCACAAATCCTTATTGGAAAATTCTTATTTTATTGCCGGTAAATGGATGACACCCTTATTATTAGTGATAAGGATTCGGATAGGAACACAATACTAACTCAATTCAATGAAGTACATTCTCCTATGAAATTCATGTGCGAAGAGGATTTCCAAAACAGAATTACCTTCCTAGATGTCCTCCCTACAGGAAAATCATATGGTAGCATAATGAGAAATTTGCATACAAAAAAGTATATGGACAGGACAATATACACACATTTTCATAGCTTCGTTCCCCTCCAGTACAAAAGCAATCTAGTAAGGACCTTCAGCCACAAGATTGCAGCTATACGCTCAGAAGAGGTAATTGAAGATGAGCAAAGGGTTGTACATGACACCTTGATTTACTGAAAATCGCTATCCAAACAAATTCATCAGGAAACGTATGACTAAGGAAGTTGAAAAGAACTATTCACTATCCGTTAACAAGAGAAGCTTTTATACATAGGACTGCAATTCAAGGACGACATACATAGCGAAATAATGACGAAGAAATTTAAAAAATCAATCCAAAGAACTTTAAATGCTAGCAAACTAAAAGGATTATTTTGAGCATGGTCGGTGGCGATTTCCTGACAGAAAGATGAAGTACCAAGACAAGCCGCTTGTGGAGCGAGTTATAATGGCCGTTACTCTAGGAACTTCATTTTTCGCTCGGGTACACATGAAATAAAGTTGTAGTGAGAAGCATCAATAGCTCAACATTGGAACACCTGGTCCGAACTGGCGACAAAGCTAATATTGAAGAGTCCTTCTCCATCATCGGCTACCGGGTATAAAACAAATTGGCAAAAACATCCAGTTACCACATACTCCAAACAGCAGAGACTGTCGAGATTCGCCTAAAACAACAGTTGCTCTGTGTGCAGAAGAATCAGTTCCAGCCAGCCACTACCACTTCTCTAGCCTTCAGTGTAGACTATAGATTCACGAATTTGTGCATCGGTGGCACAGCGGTTAGGACTCTTGCCCGACACGCAAATGTACCGGGATTCGACCTCCTGCAAACGCACACCTGAAATCGATGGTCGGCCTTCAAAATTTGGGCTACCTGTATCACATGCTGAAAATTTCATATTTGTACCAAAAATGTGGTGTGGAGTCAAGCAATAATCAAAATAAATAAAATTATTATTTTTCCCAATTTGTCTAATATTCACTCAGTGTATTGTTATGTTGATGCCATCGAACTGTAATCTATTGAGATTATTATTATTATTGAATCGTTGTTATTCAAACATTATTGTTGTTCATTATGCTGATTCATTCATGGGCTATTATGTGTATACAACTGTAGAACCTGATGAAGAGCAGGTAATCGAAAAGGATATACTTTGTTCAGTATCCATTCTTTTAAAAATTTTAATGGGCATTTTTATTCAGCTGAAAGAAAGACGCACAATATGAATAACTAGAAAATAATATAATTTCTGCATTTCGCCATAACTATACGTTGTTCCATTAAATAAACATTCTGATAGGAGAAGCTACTACAGTCTGCCGATGCAGGCACACACATGATGCATGGAGCTGTAATATTCATTTATTGTCACATATTCTTCAAAACTTCCACTCATCTTCATTTTGAAAGTGTGCAGGAGATGTTTAGACTTCTCCATTTACTGTATGCAACTTACTATTAGAAATAATGAATTCCGCGTAGATAGGAGCCGTGTAGTTGTACAGTCAGCTTGGTATCCGTTTGACGACACAACCCCTGACAAATTAGCTTGGTGATGTGAATAGACTCTGAAAATAACTCCACATCTCTTGAAAATCATTGTACATTGATATTGTAGTATCTGATGTATTTTGAATGTCTCGTCATGTTGTTATACCTTAAATGCACTCGAGAAGAGAAAAGTGAACATGTGATTGAGAAATCTTGATAGACAATTACTTGTGGTTTTTGTATAGGTCAGTGTACTCATCAACTGTTTGTTTCATTCGTGTAAGTCATGTGAAATAGAGCAGCCCTAGTCGTCAGTCATCAATTCTTTCTGCTAGAGTATAGCTTCATGGTGGTGTAGATTTCTGTGTGATGTTGTTACCTGAGAATCATCTATAATAATTCAACACTTGCTTCCCTGGTAATCTCTACATTCATGCAGCCTTCATACAATGGTAGATGTAGGGTTGATTTATTGGAACAACCCTACAAAATCCTGAACATGTTTCATGTGTAAGGAGTGAAGACTTGGATCAGTCTGGAGTCTAAATTACAAAGATTTTCCAAATATTATGTAATATTTTGTGTACAATAGATACTGATGAACGGTCGGTTTATCAACGACATCTTTTGTCTAAGCGATGTTTGGACTACTGAGGTAATTGAATATAAGTGTAGCAGAGGCAAAACGCCAGAAGATAGAACTGTTTCTCGTGGACAGATCCTTAAATCACCATCTGTCTCTGTATATTTCGGAAATAAGTCTCCCCCCCTCCCCAACGAATCCTCTTCACTCAGTGCATAAGTTTACTACACAAAGTC